TTGTAGTTTGCTCTCTTTTTCCTTTGGCATTGGAAAAATGCAAAACATGGCACTGAAACAGTGTTAAGATAAGATAAGATAAGATAGAACTTTATTAATCCCTCGGGTGGGTTCCTCTGGGAAATTCGACTTCCAAAAAAAGCACAGCAACGACCGAAGTTAGTAAAGAGTAGTGTACATATAGCACCATGTTTGTGCGCCAGAGGCAAAACTGATATGTCTGACAGTGGTCTTCCAAAAATTGTAAATATTTAAATAACAAATATGTTTTTCAAGTTTTTGAGCATATTGAGCATGTTGTTACAAAACTAAAAATTCATAACCATGTAGGTTGGTGGGCAAGTTTGTGTTGGGAGCTCGGTTTCATATCACACTTCTTTCTTCACTCTGATCCAATCATCTTCTTGTCTGTCACATATAGTAAAAGCTATTTCCTGCTCTTTAAAATTCTGCTATTTTATCATTCTGCCTTTAAGACTATTATTTCCAGGATCTTTTACACACTACATGCCTCATCCTGTCTGTTATACAGACACTTCTACTATTGACACTAATCTGCTCTCTTTTTTTTTTTGATTGGAGTCCAGTCACCAACGTTTCAATGAGTAAATAACTTGTTTCACTTTCAAATAGATTCTCCTCATGGAAATAAACCTGACGCCCAAAATAATCTAAAAAACTTCTTTGCTGTCCAGCAACAACAAAAATTTTACAGTAAATATACACCACACACAACCACACACGTACCAGTATAGATACTCACCATCTGCACACTCACTTATCTCTTCATGACTCTGCAACACAAAAAATGAAACATCTGTCATTTTTAATGTGAACAGGCATTTTTTGCAGGTTTTTAAAGGTACAAGAAAAACGATGAGATTGAGGCAAATTTTGCAGGTTAGTGTGATACTAACTTCTATTTATACTGATGGTTCTGTTTCTGTGATATAACCTACCAGAGGTCTTGGGTTAATCCTGTTGAGGTTGCCAATGGCATCCTCCAGTTCTTGGCACGTGACACCACACAGAAGGTTGCTGATGGTCCGAGCACGGCTCACAATAACACCAATATTCACCCCAGACTGCAGACCATAATAAGACGAGACACAAATGAGGAGAAATATTGGACAACCATGTATTGAGAAAGAAAATCCACTAGCTGCTTTTATTTATTTATTTATTTATTTTACTGACCTTATTACTGAAGAGCTCTTTTGCCTCTCTACAGTAGGTGTTGAGCACACTCTGAAGACTCAGCCTGAGAGGGGAGGAAAAAGTGTAAACAAAGTGGCAGTAAAACCAGCTCTCTTCATGTTTTCTGCAAACAGACACCATCTGACTGTCTCGCCATCAAATAGCTGTCATTGTTAATGAAACTACTCCTCAAAGCTGGTGGTATGCAGTGCTGCTGGTTGTCTTACTTGCTGGTGTTGAAGACGAAAGCAGAAGCAAGGAACCGGAACAGCTGGCATGCAGTGTTGTCATCCACAGCCTTAAAGGGGGCGACATAGATCGGAATGTTGGATTTTTATGGTTATGGTGTCGCTCATATGTGGACAACTTCCATAAATAATATCCAATATGTAGCTTATATAAAACATTTAACTAATTACACGACAGTGAACATGCATATTTTGTCTTTTATGCATTTAAATCTAAGCGCACATCGGGTTCACCTTTATTCTGTTTACGTCTTCACGCTAAATGCCACCAGTCATGGCGTCATGTTTACACAGAGCAAAGTCAAGAGCTCAGGGTGGAGATTTTTACAGCTACAATAGTTCTCACGATAACAAACCGGCCAGGGAACGGGAAGAGTTGTACATTGTTTCAAGACTTGGGACGAAGCGAAAGGATCCTTTCTGTAAGAGGAAATGGAAAAGGACCTTGAGCCACTCACATCTCTGGCCAGTCCACGTTTGATGCTGTTGATGTTTACCAGTCGGACGGGGACTTCTAGATTAAGCTTGTAGTAGATCTGAATTGTCTCGTGCATGCCGAGCAGCTCTTCACTAAAGGCAGACCAAAAAAAGAGTGCATGGGGCGCATTACACCACATTAAACGATGCAGGTTTAAGAGGACGTCATGAGCTTTTGCAGTAAAATCTAGCAATAAACTTACTTCTGGAGAAACTCCTCGGAGTCGCACAGTTTTAATACGCAATGCTCAGATTGGTCAGGAGGGATGTCTAGAAGCTGGGAGATGTCCTCGATCAGACTCTTCACTGTCCTGTTCACTGGATAAAAGATTGGACTTCAGAGACACCACACATGCCAACATATGAAGAAACTTATGAAGCATTTATAGATATTACCTACAAATGACCCTGTTCAGCACAGTTTCCTGGGTTGCGAGGTTGGGTAATAGCTGCTTACTTGACTGCTGATAAGTCTGTTAACACTTTATGCCAATTTTACCACTTATTTATTTTTTTAAGTTAGAAATATCAATAATGCATAATTTCTAAAACAGAATACGAGTAACAAGCAACATTTTATGATCATTTTTCCTGTTTTAAATTCATTTAACTGCCACAGAAACCAAAAGACGCAGGAAGAAACAAATGTTGTTAAGTTGTCTGCAGATACTTAAGGACAGACAAAAAGCAAGAAAATTGATTTGTGGTTAAACGTTGCAACAGAAAATATTATTACATTTGTGTTAGACCTCATTTTCAGTAAAGACCTCAGAAAGATGCTTAGCCCACGTTTCTGCCCAAATACCATGTGTGATGGCTGCACTGTCATCTCAGAGTCAGTGCATGATGACAGAAGAAGCTTTGCAGTGAATTCAGTGATGGGTTTTAAACATTTGAATGTACAAATTGCACTATTGTAGCCACTGTTAAAGGATTTCTCTCCCTCCAGTATTTTGTGACATTGGATGGGAGCTGCTGCTAGCTAACAGAAGCAAGTGAACTGGTATATATACAAATGTTACCTGAGGTGGGAATGGGGATCTGGTTTTGGTCCCACACCACACTGATAGTCACCTCGACCTGCTGCAGCAGAGCACGGTTGATGTCCAGCAGTCGACCGCATACCAAACCGGAGTTGTAAAGACTTTCTGTGTGCTTGTATTTTGACATTAAGCTGCCAGAGACAGTGAAGAAAAACAGGTTGCAAAATTCCAAATGAAAGTATGATTGCGATTAGAAACCAACTGGAACTACAGAGGAGCAAAACAATTGACAGTAAATACACAGCATATAAGATTTAAAGTCCAGTGACTAATTTTGTTTGCCTGATTTCTGTCATAGTAAAGGAGAATATTGTAAACAAAAGCATTTTATAGTCATTTCATTTCCACACAAGTTGTTTTTATGGTCATTTTCATACCTGGCAGTTGCAGCAGAAAACGAAACCATTGTCTTGGTGCTGCCCTCCGGAGTGTCTATGAGTGTGATGGCCCATATATCCTGATGAGGAAAAGAATACAAGAGACACTCTTCAGTCTTTTCTCTGTATTTTGGGTTTCGATCTTGAACATTAAGGAGCTTTTTGTCTACAATGAGTATTGGAGATGCTCACTTGGTTGCATACGGTTGTGGAGCGAGTCAGTCTTTGAAGAGGCTCGCTGAAATCACAAGAAACCTGCTTATTGAGTCCCGGCCTGGGAGGAGGAGGAGGAGGAGGAAGTCGAAGGACCTTTTCTCCTCTCAAACATTCACTGGGAAGCCTACATCTTTGTAGATTAGGAGATCTTGGGGGTACTGGGGGGCGACCAATGGTGCTCTGCTGGTTGGTATTTCCAGGACCTCCGATCTCAAAATTCCAGATATCATTTCCAGGTTTAGGCTGGGTTAAAGTGGGGGATTCTGGGATGTCGTACAAATTAGGCCCATCATTTTGTGATAGGTCATCAATGCTCTCATACAGGTGTATTGCTTCTAGATCGTCCCTCAAAGGCATGGGGAGATCGGTGTCGCTCGCATCTTCTCTGTGGAGTGTTTCAGCTGAGCTTTCCATTGCATTTTATTCATGTAAACAAGTTTTTCTGGATGCTGGTGTTTCACACTCCGCACGGCCTTCATTCACAGCATGGCAGAACAGAAAAAACCTATGTGGTGGTATTATTAATAATGACAAGTTAGGATACTTGATGACTTACATTAGAAAATGCGAATTGTTGAAGGTAGGGCGGGTTTTATGAGCAGAGTCTAACTGAATCTGAAGGTTCAGGCTGGTGTAATTATTAACAAGCTTTCAAATCTTAACAGGAAATCCAACAGAGCACACCAATAAGCCCACAACAATGCCTTGTTATATATCAGTGACACCACAAATAACACATTATGACTTAAATTCTATTTTTAGACAGTATAAAGCTGAACAGCAGGGATTTTTGAATTTAAATCAAACTCAAATCTAGCCTGGTACTTTTTCATATCACGTAGTGTTTTCCCTTCATGTCACAGAAGGTCCTCTATAGTAAAATGTTAAGACTAGCTGTGAATAACAAGATTTGTCTTTTGCAAATTCACGGGTATATTTTTGTGAGCTTACCGTAAAAGCTCTGATGTCCGGCGCGTATCCTGTTCAAGGTGAAAGCTTGAATGAAGCCAAGCCCAGCCAGTTAGACCTGTAAGAAATCTGGAAAGGTTTGCTAGCTCCTCCCACTGTTCCTCCTCTTCCCTCTCCCGCGTCACAAAGTTGCCCTCTGCTGGACAAAACTGTGTATTACATATGTGTGCGTGTGCTGTTGTTGTACAGGTGAACTAATTCCAGTTAGTTCTTAGTCTTACATTAAAATTTGAAAACACAAAACAATCTTGACTTTTCATTGTATGTTTCAAATGCTGATTAGATTTAATTTGCGTGTGTGTTTTTCAGGAGTTAACCAATGAAAAACCATATGTGACATTAATTTTCAAAGCAGCATCACTTCTGACTTTACTGTATGTGTGTCAAAATGTTTTAAACGTGATCATAAACATGGATAAACACGTCTGTCCAGTTCAACTAACACACCGGAATACACTGAATACACTCCTCATGGAGGAATGCTATTGAGCAAGTTGAGATACGCGATCACTGTGTTTCAGTGGGTCACAAAGACTTGAAAGGAGCGAGAACGACATGCATGTTCAGGTAGTCCCCAGGTAGCACATAAGGTAAGAATACATTTAAGAAAGAAAAACGCAGATATGTTAAAATGCGTCGCTGTAGTATCCTTTAATCAGCCGCCTTTTCAGTTCAGTTTGAGGCACGTAAATATTTACTGTACTGTACATACAGATTTGCTGGATCTTACATGCCACGGCGACATTTGTTTTTGCGTCTTTCTGTGGGAATGAAAGCAGAGGCACGGCACTGAATGTGTCACACAGGTGCGCAGCACAGACGGCTGCTATAAAAAGGACGATGGGGCAGGAAGAAATGCATCCGAACCACACAACTCCCCATATTTCACCAGTACCCAGCAAACCTGTATTTCCTGGTTACTATTCACTCATCCCTTTGGTTGTGCTCATACTGATTGGATGTATAGTGGCAGTGGTAAAAATGTTTATTTACTTCTGCACAATTCACTTTCAAAATGATGTCTTACACATCTATTATAATCGCACTTCTGTTTGGCTTGTGCTTCTCTTTAGGTTGTTTATATCAGAAGAAAAATGAGGTAACTCCTGAAGTTGAAGCATCATCTTGAGCTCGGTTTGGGCTCTTTTATGTTCAGGTTTCTCTTTCTCTTTTTTTCCAGATTGGATGATTTGCGGCATAGGTTGATTCCTTTGTACAGCTACGACCCTGCAGAGGAACAGGAAGACTGGGGTGATGCTGGCAGGGAGGATGAGGATGCGGAGCTCAATGTAGGCTCATTCTTCTAGTAGATTCAGATGAGTTAGAACGAGACTTTATATGTTTGTTTTGATTTTCATTTATGTACTGTCACCATTAAGAATCATTGAGTTCAGTATTAAAGCTTCTGTTTCCAATTGGCAGCCAACCAAAAGAAAGTTGACAAAGTATGGGACAAAAGAGCTCAAGTAGATTGAGTCCAATAAACTCGACTGGTAGTTATGTAGCACTTTTCTGCTCTACTTGAGGACTCAAACCACTTTATACTACAAACCTCATTCATTAAAACAGCATTTTTTTCTATGCGGATGTGCTTTCTAACATTCACACTCTAATAAACGCATCAGAAGGAACTTAAGGATCTTTCTTAAGGAGTCTTTTAAGGACAATGGAACACCCAGTGATTTGAACCACAAACCTACACACTGGTAGACAACCCACACTGTCTCCAGAACCACAGGCACCCTAAACTGGGTGGAAATAGATAGCCACAGAATGAAAGGGACACCATTAATACAAATACAATATTTCCATCTATCTAAGTACTTATGATGGCATGTTGAAGATTTGCCCAAGCGCTCCTTGGCATGCAGGGATTGAACCACCAACCTCCTGATTAGTAGATAACATTCACTACAAATACAGGGCCTTTTAAAACTACACCTGTCCATGTTAATTGGTAAATTTCTATAATCAGTCACATACAACAGCTCTTGTATCATTTGTTACCATGTTAGCATCTTGCTAACAATTTGAACTGTAAGTTATTCTTCAGCTGTACTTTTTCTGCAGCTAGCGGCGTCTGTCATTTATTGTCTACTGATTTGCTTTGACTGGTTAATACTTCTATTTGAATCTGTTTGAACTGTGCATGTGCTCCCTTTCTCATTCTCGGGCTAACTATTTCTGCCCATTACTTTTGTGTGGGCTGTGATCCATGAGGTAGCATGGGTTGTCTACCAGTTCCAAGGTTGGTGGGTTAAATCCTTAGCTGCTCTAGTATCTTCCAAAGAATCCATGGGAAGATGCTGAACTGCAAAGTCCTCCTGATGTACTCATTTGAGTGTGAACATTAGATAGAAAATGCGTAAGCGTAGGGAAACAATTACTATTGTGGATGAGGCTTATAGTATAAAGTTCTTTAAGTGTTTAAGCAGAGTAGAAAAGTGCTATATAAGAACCAACTAAATTTGATTCGTACTTTAAAATGTCACCTTCAGTACCCCTGTGTATGATTCACTGAAGTACATCACCAGTCACATAAGTTTTAACACTTCGATTACATATTTTCAACTTCATATTCGTACCCTCATTTCCTGTCATACACGTGGGTGGCAGTGACCATTTCAGCTTATGTAGAATTTGATTTTCTTCACAGGAACCTTTGTACAAGAAGGCACAGCTCACCATTTCCTCTGGCTACGCAACATGATCACAAATTTCAGAAGAAACTCATTTAGGCAAATAAATCTTTATTTGCTGTACATGCTGCACAGCAGCAGCTTGTTGCCTGGATTCAAAGTGTATATAGAGGTTGTGGTTGAAACGTGACTTAAAGCAAACACCAGATGGCAATGTAACACTGCCTTTTTTCTTTCTTTTTACCTCAGCTGAAATTATTTTTTTTAATAGGCTGCACAGAGTTTTATTTTAAAGGACAAAGCAAATGTTCTTCCTGTGCAATAAACTGGAAGTTTAAAGTTTGAAAGGTGTTTGTGTGAATTCGTGTGTTTCTTCTTTCACATGTGTGCGCAATGACATTAAAGGCACACCTGTTTCTGATTAGCAATCAGAAGCTGGCGTTTTAAGGTTGCTTGAGTGGACACGTTCTCATGTTTGGTGGGATTTTACAGAAAAAGATGGGATCGCAAAGAAAGACCAGGTGAACAGCACATGCATGCAAATAACTAAGAACCATAAATGCCTTTAATTGAAATATTATTTCAGTATGTATTGTTTTGGTGTGAATTCACATTAGTCTGGGTATCCATCTGTTTAGTCCATGCTGCTTCTTGATCTCCATCCTGCTGGTCTCAGCTGCGATCCTCCCAGCACTGGCTCTAGATAGCCTGCTGTGCTACTACTGTCCTCTGCAGCAGAAAAGCAAGCCCTGCCCCCAAACCACCAGCCAGTGTATGCCTGACCAGCGCTGCGCCATCTCCACAGGCAACTATGGCTTCTTCCACATCTTGTCTTCTCAGGGCTGTGTGGACAGTAAACTCTGTGGCTCCCATAAAGTCATCTCTTACCAGGGAGTCAAATACAATGTCAGCTACACATGCTGCTGTAAAAATCAGTGTAACATCCTGCCCAAATCTGACAGCAATCTGAAGAAGCTACTGGATTTGATTGCATTAAAGGTTGATCATGTCGGGAACACAGATGGTCGTAAGGAAGAGCCTTTGGATTCATGTCCAAATAACACAAGAACAACAATACCTGTCACTGATGCATAGGTACCTGTATTGTTGAAGACTGGGGAGAGTCCTGTTAGCCACTGGCACTTAAATCTTCAGAAGATGAAAGGCATTCAGTCAAATGTCTAAATCTCAGTCATAACTTTAAAAAAAAAAAGTTTGTATAATTTAAAAAAAAAAGTATGATGTATTGTGTGACTTGTATTTATGCGCCAGAGAGATGGACTTGTCAACCATCTTTCTGTAATCCCTATTTCCATATACATGTGTTTTAAAAAAATAAAAGCGCTGGCATGATCAAGCTTCTGTTGGTGTATCTGCTCTGTGTGAATTTAACAAGCAGGTATAATCGAAGGTGTGGCCTGTACAGCTGGAGTCAGTGATGAGATTGGCGTTCAGCAGGAGAAGCTCTGAAATGTTTTGGCTGGACTTAAAATCTCTTAAATGAGGTGAGACTGTGCGAAGAAGTCTGGTGAGGAACTTTGTCGCATGGAGTCACACAAACCACCTGCAACTCAACACCTCAAAGACTAAGGAACTGGTTGTGGACTTCGGGAGGTCCAGAGAAGGTCCACTGCCGGTTCAGATAGAGGGGGAGGAGGTGGTCAACAAGTACAAGTACCTCGGGCTGTGGGTGGACAATAAACTGGACTGGTCATGCAACACAGAGCACCTGTATAAAAAAGCCCAAAGCTGACTGTACTTCCTCAGGAGGCTGAGGTCTTTTAACATCTGCAGGAAGCGCCTGAGGATGTTTTACCAGTCGGTGGTTGCTGGAGTACTTTTCTATGCTGTGGTGTGCTGGGGGAGCAGCACAGCAAAGAAGGACTCATCCAGGCTGAAGAAACTGATCAGGAAGGCTAGCTCTGTGGTCGGCATGAAGCTGGACACTCTGGTGACAGTGGCAGAGAAAAGGACATTAAAGAAACTGATGGACATTATGAACAATGCTGGGCATCCTCTGCACACGGCCATTAACAACCAGAAGAGTCTGTTCAGTGACAGGTTGCTTCTCCCCAAGACAAGAACTAACAGACTTAAAAACTCCTTTGTCCCACACGCCATCAAACTGTTTAACTCCTCTCTGGAGGGGAAACAGGAGGACAAAGGAGGGGGGAACAACTAAGCTGTAGTGCCTCTTCACCTCACTGTGCAATACCTTTTGTTAATAGTCAATGGTGCAATAGACCTCAATACTTGAAATGTGCAATTCACTTGTATTTTTATTTTTTATTCCTATTTATTCTATTTATCCCCTTCGTATATTTTTTTATATAGGTCTCTGTATTTATGTGTGTGTGTGTGTGTTACTCTGTAACTTCTGTCGGTGCTGTGCTTTTGGAAAGCGAATTTCCCAGAGGAACCCACCCGAGGGATTAATAATGTTTTATCTTATCTTAAGCTTCACACTAAAATTGTTCCTGCATTTTATCGTCAATGCTGGAAGTAGTCTGAATGTGATTATCAGAGGAAATCCTTCACACCAATACAAGAAATGGTGAAATTTCATACTTCCTGCACAGCTGTACAAGTTGACCGGTTTTAAAGATGATAGCTGTGAAGATGTTGTTCATCTGTTTAATATAATGGATTTAAATGGCACTCACTTTGTTTCATGAATGAAAATAATAGCACAGAAAAATTCAGCAGCAACGTTTCTTTCCAGTAATTACGACCCATTATGACATTTTATCTGTGAGCTATTTAACGTGGTAAATATAGCATCTAAATTCAGCCTTTACCAAACAATAGAAACTTGCAGCTAACTAACATGTAAATTCGGCTAAGGGGCCAGTGACTTATGAATCCTGTCACTTTCACTTTTCAGCCTCTTACCAGGTGCTTCACTCTGCACAGCATTACAGTTTGTTGGGAAAAAATGGCTTCTATGAAACTGTGGAAAGATGTTGGTACTGAGGTTTTCAATTTGTTTTTCGGTTGGTTTTTTTGGGTTGTTTTTTTTTTTAGCACTTTGAGTATCAGAGTATCAGTTTTTCATCAGTCCACTTATTTACTGCAGGTGGTGCTGGAGCTCATCCCAGGCGGGTGGGGGGGTGTACACCCTGAACAGGCCACCAGTCTGTTGCAGGGTTAACACAGAGAGACGGATAACCACACATTCTCACATTCACACACCTGCAGCCAATTTGCAGTCACCTGTTAACCTAATGAGCTTGTCCTTGAGCTGTGTGAGGAAGCTAGAGTGCCTGGAGAAAGTTCACTGTGTTGACCAGAGTCACTCTGGAGACAAGTGTCGTTTAGTCCAGTTATATTTAGGGGAAGGAGACATTTCTGCAGCTGAGAGACTTCCACTAACTGGTTGGTTTGCATAAAATAAATCTAATTTTTGAATGGCTTTGCAACCCAGACAGAAAAATGCAGTTGATTTATTGATTTAGTGAAATAACTATTTAAAATCTCTTTTTACCAGTGGCCTTTCGGTGTAGATTGCAAAAATTAAACCACTGTGGCACTAAGTATGTGTTTTACCCAAAGTTTAACAGATGCTTCTTTTCTTTGCAGCCTGAGCATGTTGAAGCTCCTGCATATCACTGGTTTGTGGCTTCACTTCCTCCTTCCCTCTGTGCTCTGTGACAACTTGCTTTGCTTCTACAGCCCCATGCTGGAGAAAGACAAGACACCCGAATTTGTTGTGACAGAGTGCCCTCCCAGTAAGGTGTGCTTTATGGCAGATGGCCGCTACGGCAACCACAGCGTCCTGTCAGCCAGGGGTTGCATGGCAAAAAAAGACTGCAGCCAGAAGCAAAAAGTCCACTTCAAGGGGACAACCTACACCGTGAGCTACAGCTGCTGTGATCAGCCGCACTGTAACTCGTGCCTGAACATCGCACTGGAACCCCTCTGTCTCACTTTAGCACTTGTAACAGTGTGGGTGATGGTCGGTGATGGTTTGTGAATACAGACATTTTGATGAACATGCTCAGAGGACTTGCTGCAGCCTGAGCCTGGAGTAAGGCTGAAGGTCTGCAGTGATATGTGGTGAACACCCAGTCTGAAGACACTGAGGTGTGCACTCCGGTGAAAGAGAGAATTTTATCATAAATGTCTTATTAAATTTGGCTACATATCCAAGACGTACACCACCTCTTGCCCATCGGCATCAGCCAGGTTCCAGCCCACTACAACCCCGGTTGGATCAATGGCTTATTTTCTTTAAACAGGTGCTTTGTTTTTATAGGTCTCTGAATAAATAAATAGTTGAATAAATTATCAAATTTGATGCCTTTTGAATGTTTTCCCACACTCTTCTGTCACATACAAAGTCACACAGATATAGGGCAAGGATGGTTATGTTCTGTATTTTTCTTATTGTCATAATTTTACAGAAAATCAAAACAATTAACTGCTTCCTGCTCTCACGTGTCAGTTTCCAGGGATTTCTTTATCCCATTGAGTTCTATCACTGAATTAAACAAACATTTAGGAGCCGCTCACTGGCTTGCATCTTTCTTTACTACTGATATGTACACAATAGATAATTTAGATTCAGCCATACATGGCTTTAAATCTTTGTTGGGATCTGAGAGTGAGAGACACAAATGGGCAAAGGAGAGAAAGTCTAAAGCAAATGAAGTCCAGGCTTATTTTGCAGGAATGAAAGAGAGCAGCTGAAGCAATGTGTACAGTATGAGGTTTGGACAGTTCTTTATTTCCCTTTTATAAGGCTGCTGGGTCTCCCCATAGTGGATATACATATATATACAGGAGATTGCTATACTGAAGTTACACTGAGGGCAGAGGGTCCATATTACACAGACTTCAAAAAACAACACTAATAGAGCCTCACCTCCAGGTATCAGAAATCAGCAGAGAGAGGATGGGGTGGGGGGGAAACAGCACAAGAGAAGAGGGAAGTGAAGGGAGAGGGGAGATGATGCAGTGCGAGAGCCTGACTCGACTGCCTAATAACTTAACACTAGAAAAAACATACAGATTTCACGCACAGTGCATCTTAAATAGGTCACGTGAAGAACCATTTACCATAAATATCTGTATTTTTCGGGAACCAACATATATAAAAAAATGATTAAAAAAAACAAAAACAATTGCTGTTCAGTCTTTATTTTTCTTTTTTCTCTCTCCATATTTTCTCCTTTCCGTCGTCTGCAAATCGTTCTTTTGCTTCTTCTTCGTGTGGAGCCGGGGCTTTTCTCGCCCCGCCCCGATGTGGATAAACGAGGAAAAGGAAACAGAACCCAGCACAAACCGACCCTTCCCCACCCCGCCCCCTTAAAAGCATATGAATTAGTATAAAACGAACGAACAAATGAACAGAACACCACAGTCAACTCATCACAAAAAAGAACCCACAGACACACAGAACAGCAAGAACACAGTACTTTTTTTTTTTCCTTTTTCTTTTCCTTTTTTCTTTTTTTTCTTTTCTTCTTAGGGCTTGATCACCATCACTCCTCCTAATGGTCAGCATCATCATTGCAGTCGTTCTTTCCGGGTGTACTTGTTGGCAGCGGTGGAGCCGTCCTCCCACCCGGTGGCTCAGTGGAACTGGGAGGCTGCTCTCCAATCGGCTGGTCAGTTCAGCAGTGATATATTATCTCTCAATTTCACAGTGAGGCAGGAAAAGAAGGGAGAAGGTGAAGAAGGGGTAGAGGGAGGGGGCTGGGACCCAGAGGGAAGGGTAGAGCAGGTGGGAATGGGAATCGGAGGAACCACAGCAACAA